AGTGGCTAGCACAGAAAAAGCTATATATAGAAAAAGAGATTTAAGCAAAAAAATTGAAGTCTAACACATGTTCAATGCTGGATGAAAACAGAAATGAAATATTCATGGAATTTACTTTCTAATATCTTTGCACTTGGGGTTTTTTTCTTTCGTTCTTTGGTTTTCTAAAATTTCATCCTGACAGCTTACTCCATGTTTAAGGACAGAAGTCTCCAGAAACTTTTCATTGAGGAAATCTTAAACATGATTCATACATTTGTAAACACCTATTTCAATCCTCATTTTCAAGTAATTTTGGTAGCCATTGAAAAAAGCGTGCATTGTTTTGCTTCAGCATATAGTGAGCCATGAAAACCAAATTCTGTTTACAGCAGGACCAGATTTTCTATTATTTTAGACAGTCATTTCCACAGAAAAACCCTTTATATGTCATTACTAATGACATTACAACCTTCTCTAGTTGCCCTCAAGACCTGGCTGCTTTGTAGCAGACAATATTTGACATCTTAGTTTGCAATCTCAGAAAAAGCCAAGAGAGCAGCAACTGTCCTGTCAGAAAAAAATTCCTTCAGAAGCTGGTAAATATTTCCCATTTCTATGGTGATGTGATAAAAATGGGTAGGTTGGAATCAAGAGCGTGCCTGCTTTGTGATTAATTGTAGATGTCAATACTGAGAGGTACCTGCAAGGCAATTAGCACTGTACTTGCCTAAATGTCACCCCACTGTAAATACAGAATGGAAATAAATAGACAGATTGGCCTGGTGCATGTTTGGATTTGGAACAAGAATCTCAGAAATGTGATTCCTAAGCAAGCCAGTTTTTTATTATGTGCTGCTGATATGCTACAAAAGACTTCTCTCTTTCTTTTTTTCTGGTGTGCTGTGAGGTTAATGCCACTCATCTCTCTAAAATGTCACGTGGAGATACTTCCTAATCAAAGCCACCATCATATTGATGAATCTTAACAAAAAAAAATCACCAAAAAACCAAACCAAAAAACAGCAAAAAAAAAACCCACCCTGTAAAAATTTCTGTAGATAAGATTGTAAATGCTAAGACTGAAGTAGAATTTTCTTTGCCATTAGAGCCCAAATTGATAAATGCTTTACAGTGGCTATTTAATTTGACAATCCTTTTCTGTTCTGTCTTCCCCAATCTTACAGTCATGTGAATGACTGAGAACAGAGTCACAACTCCAGGCTGAGAGTTAAGGAGCAGAAAAATAGAGGCTGATGTCACTGCTATGCAGAACTGAATATACATTACCAGAATATCCATCAAACTGACATTTCACAGTTTAACTTCTACAAAAGGGGAACAACAACACTGACCACCCTCCTCCACCCCTTTTGGGCATTCAGTTGTGATTCTACTGTAGATTAAAATCTGAAATGTAACTCTTTCTCAAGACTGGGAGGGGGGCTTTTCTATTTCATCACATAGCCAAGATTTTATTTTTTCTGCTGTTTTTCTTCTTTTAACTATAACATATTAACTGCTGGTGGCCTTTGGAAAACTAGAGGATCAGATGATGCTGGCTCTCCTTCTTTCCATCTGCTAGCCTACATAGCAAGAAAACTACTATATATGTTAAATATTACTTTTTTTATGAAAATAATTACTACAGATGCAAGAATCTCATGGTCATGAAAGGTTTTGTGACAGAACTTTAAATTAAAGCTCATCTAGAAAGTTGGAAATCCTTATCTGCAAAAGTCTTTCATTAGTAGCACACACTAAACAATGATCACTGCTGTACGATGAGAGACAAATTAATGAATCAAACATTACAGATTTCATCACATTGGCTCATTTGCATTTAAGCTGGTTTCCAGCTCTGTCATGCATTTGCTTTTAAACGAGCCCCTGTGGATAGTGCTGCAATGTTTGATTCATTAATTTGTTTCTCAGTGTACAGCGGTGCTCACTGTTCAGTATACGGTGAAATACTTGGAAAATATTTGTTTTAACAACCTATCTTTTATTTTAACAAAGAAATAATAACCCTGGAGAAGGAAATGCTGGCCATCTTACAACACAGCCCCTGCCAAATCTCCCAGTTGCTACCCCAGCCCATCGTTATACCACTGTGATATTATCTGGATTAAATCTTCACAGCTTGCTCTCACATATTCTACAATTTCCTAAAGCTTTGAGCCAGCTCTTTGGGTTAGTGTTATGATGCCAAATTCAACTCCTGGGAAGTTAAAGGTGGCTTTAAGCCTTTGCTCTCCGATCCTTGGATTGGTCCCAAGCAGTGACTTAGATCAGCCTCCCGGACGCCCGGTGACATTCTGCCACCACCGTGTCTGCTACACCCGCTCCTCCACATTACAGCAGAGTGGGTTGCTTGGCAAAGCCATCTCTGTGAGAGCTGAAAAACTTTGGAATTGGTTTTTGGTTTGTAACAGCTTGAATTTGGTGACCTTACAGCACACTGAAAGCTCCATCTGTTTTAGAAGGAGAGAGAGACACGTTCCCTGGCTGGTCAGTGCACGGGGACGAGCGTTTGGTAATTAGATGGGTGGTTGAATTCTCAAGTTCTTGTCTGAGCCTCAAAATTTAAGTTTATGTACTCAAATACAACCCGAATTATACATGTATAGCTGTGTTGTAGCCATCATTGCTCATGTTGATTTCTAAAGAAATAAATACACAGAGCGAATGAAAAATATGGAAGCTGGTTTGGTAGGCACTAGGAATTGGAGAACAAAATGCTTCTCTAGCTAGAATTTCCCTTCCTCTATCATGGCTGTGATGGATTGCAGCTTATAAAGGCAAGCCCATTTGACAGGAGGATACATTTGGACTATGAGATTCGTGGAAATGAGGGGCTAATTAAATGAGCTGTGCTTTTCATGAAGCAGGCAGGTTTTCATGTGCTGAGAGATGGAGTTAAGTAGCATCAGCAGATTACATTGCACAGCCCTTTCCTACCACTTTGCCTTTTTTAGGTTTTTTTTAATATGTTGAACAGGAAAAAAAAAATAAATGTAATTGATACCAAACAAAATAAACCATCAAGACAGAAAGGCAACATCCTAAGCCTGAATTTCAGAGGTCTGACATGGAAAATAACAAAAATTTCCCCTTTGCTTACTCCAAGTAATCCATAGATTCAACTGCATGCTAAACAAAACCAAACAACCCCCCCAAAAAAAAGTAAAAGAAACAACCCCCCCCACTTCACTGTCAAATATAACCAGCAAAGTTACAAATGCTGACTGCAACCAAGCCAAAGGCCACCCTACAGCCAGAATATTATGATCCCAGGAGAGGCCAAGTGCTGCATGTGACACTGTCCCTCTGCTGATTAACACACAGACAAAAGTTGTCTCCTATGACCATCCTACCAGAAAGCCCTCAGGAAAGACTATTCCTTTCCACTGCCTGTGAGGAAGGAGGGATGAAGTTTCTAAGGGACAACAATAACTTTGGAAAGACAGCTTGACATTTTTCCTAAAATGTGTACCTGATATTTTCTGCAGCAGAAAACTGCTGGGTCTTTCCTTACGAATCCAATATCACGTCCTATTTAACCATATCCTTAGTTTTACCTGAAAGGAACTATATAATGGAAAATTCTAAAAGTCATTTGAAAGGCTGGAGTAATTTTAATGTTTATTACAAGAAATGTGCCTCACTGAAAAATACATTTTTTAATACTAATCTCTATGTTTTTCTTCTTGGAAAGATTGTATTTCACAAAGACAGACTAAATACTCTCAGAGAAAAGCTAGGCTGTCTTCACAAGAATAAAAGAATTTATAAATACACATGTGGGAGCTTGTACAATCCAATTGCAAGACAATTTTATATTAAATACCCAATTAAGTCACTCTTGTTCAAAGAAATCCCTTTCTTACAAACGTAAGTATACTGAGTCAAATAAATATAGCAACAAATACCCAAAAAGAGCGTCGGGAAGATGAAAATAAGGAACTCCATGTCAGAGCATGTTAACTACACTGCACTGTTGGTTCCTCCCCAACTCTCCCACCAGACTCATGGAGCTGGAGCAGTAATGGGGGAGGAGGAAATAAACCTTTCCATGAACAAGTGGGTGTGCTGTCCTACTACTGCCTTAAATCACAGGAAACTCTTTGGCTGGTTGATTCTCTAACTCATAAAATGCCTCCAGTGCACTGCATGGCTTAAGTGGCTTGAAACAGCTGATTTCACAACAAAGAGTGCACGATCAAATTGCACAACATTTTGGTCTGCTTTCAGAAATCAACCATTTAAAAAGCCCCCAAAACCCAAACCACACTTACAATTCCACAAGCCTGGTAAGCCAAAAAAACACAACCAATAGAAAACCACAAACAACCCAACAGTCTGAAATTGCAGCAAGGAAGATTCATGTTAGAAAATTAATTGTAGTGGTCTACATTAGGGCATTTTGACACCAGATTTTTAGCCACCTATGGAAGGTGACTCTTCTCATTTTAAGTAGGATTCAACAACACTTCTGACTCTCCACTGGCTGGAATACAAATCAAAGGGGCACCTGTATTTCTTGGGTGAACTTAGGTGAAATTAGTCCCAACCTAATGAAATCAATGCAGTTTATTTAAGCACAACAGACTGCTTATGGTGCCTATGAATTTCCATCACTTGTTTTTCACCCAAGATCAGAGGCTAACCTCTGTCAGGCAGAGCTGAGGTAGAGTTTTCTGTGAGGAGGTGCTATGAAAGACAGCATCATTCTAGTTCACTCCACCTCAGCTCTTCCCAATACTTGTATTTTCTGTTTTATTTACTCACTGAAGAAAACAGGTTTATCAATGTGAAAATAAACTAATGGTCTTAAACTGTGAGTATGAAAGAGTCCTCCCCTACTGCTCACTGATATCCTTCCCATTTGCAGAAAATTCACATATCAATTAAACTCACCTGTTAATTAAAAGCTTGTCTGGAAAATTCTTTGCTAGTTGGAAGCAAAAGAAAGTATAAAAAGTATCTGAATGCTGAAGCTTTGAATTTTAATTACTTACTTCCAGGTTTGTTTGTGATCCCTCAGGTGTTGGCTGGGCAACAGCAAAGAACTGGAAAAAAGAAACAAAATTATTTTGTAATTCCTGCTGTGAGGAAGAAAATGTATCGAGAAGGCTTCCAGTTTTTTCTTCTTATCTTGTTTAGATTTGCTCTTTATTAATGTATTTATAAGAAAATATCTGCACAAAAAGGAAAAAGATTCTGGAAGATTACAGGCAACTACAGTGAATAATTGTTCTCCAGATTTGATATCTTTTTTTTTTTTAACAATATGAGGACTCCTATTGTGTTTGTGTCACAATGGAGAATATCAATATATTATAAATGAGAATAATGCTAATAAATTTGGAATAAAGGCTAAAGTTTTTATCAGATAATCAATTACATTTATTTATATATATATTATATATGTATATTAAATTTGTGTTGTTTATTTTATATGCATCTAAATAGAAAAGACATCAGTAGTTTAACAAAAACTCTGGGACTCATAGAAATGTGATCCCTCTCTCTAGCTACCTATATAATAATAGTTGGTGTTCTGATGTTCTCTTTCTTTCCTACGATTTTTAGAAAAATGATCTTTTTTTTAACTGAGCAGAATACTTTATCTAAAAAAAAGAGAGTCTGGAAAACAAACATGGAAGCAGGGGACAGTTTTTCTGCTTTTCCTCATTAAGATAATCACCCTCTCCCCCCGCCAAGTCATAATATTTTAATAACATGCAATTTTTAGGGTCCCTTTATTAGGGATAAATAGCTGAGACACTGATTTGGATCAGCAATTTTTCCACTCGGAAAATCCATTTTGACCTTTTACAGAGGAACTTAAAGATTTCCCAAGGTTTCTGAGGAATCTTTGCGTGTGAAAAATTTGGCCATCTGAATGAGATGAAGGTTTACACATTGAGTTCTCCAAGAACTGGGAGGAGGACTTTGATTTTTTTCCCCCGCATACACACAGCATATGTACAGCTGTTTAAAAAAGTTCAGTTCTCAGTTAAACCACTCTTCGTTCAAACTGACTTGCACACAACTAGGTGACAACAGCAGGTGTAATTGAAGTGACTCTGTTCACATTAAGGAAGTTTTCTTCCTCAACACACTTAAGAGCTTCAAATTGAACGAAAAAAAATGTCAAAATGATAAACAGTTTATTTGCTATTTGAATAAGCCCCATTCAAATATATCGAGTGAAAATATTAACCAGAAACTAAACACAGGTGAGTGTGGCTATTCAAGTCTGGTACAGGTTTTAGGACAGCTGAAGAATCAGATGCTGCTTTAAAGTGCATTTAAGGGACTAGGAAAGTTAAACAGCTCAGATTCCACTTGTATTAAGTTCATGGTAAAGGTTTCCTCATCAGATGAGCAAGACTTTATGAACTGTAACAGCACAAGTAATTTTTGGCTATTACACTTCTCTTAGTGCTGCTGGCTTAGCAGTATATATTCAGTTATATATTCAGGCAGAGACTTTTGCTCACTCTGTACAGCTAAAAATTCTGAATATTGTGAAAGTCAGTAATTTTAGTAGCCTTAAATAAATTAAAATATTAAAGCATTTTACAGGTGGATGAAGAATAAACCATAAGAAATTCAGTCAGAGTTTATAAAAGAAAGAAAGAAAAGGAAAAAACCCTGAAAAGTAGGCAGGCCTCTATCATCCATCTTTTTTTAGCTGAATGTCTTTCAAATGAAGACAAAAGCTTGTTTACTGCAGTTTCTTGGGGGAAACACCAGGAGTAGCCACGAAACATTCAATTACCCAGCCTACAGTTAATGAGACATTTTATGAATCTGTAATTCATAAAAGAATACCTTATGAAAATTCAAGATATCAGCAGGTCTTATGTAGGTTACTTGTAAATATGGCTTTAAAAAATTAATACATGTTCTTTCTGGAAGAACGAGAATCATCTCTGAAAAAATGACAACGTCACACGCAGCCGGACGTTGACGTTAAGAGAGGAGGAAGTATTTTGTAGTTAACAAAAAGTGTAATTTTGGAAGTTTTTATCTAAGAATTTATTCAGATACATCTTCTACTGTTATTTATAAAGGCCTTGCTTCTGCAGCATGGGACAGAGACACCACGTTCACTCCAAGGTGATGAAAATGCCTTCCAAACAGCACATCTATCCCAGTGACAGCAGGGTGGGCTGCAGGCACAGCGGGATTACAACTAATGCACAAGTATCTAAGACAATAAAGGTGTCAGGATAACTTGGATTATCCAGTGGGATGGATAATATCCATCACTCCTGAAAAATTCATCCTTCTCATTGGTGACCAGTTATGTAGAAAAGCACGACATGGACATGGAGCAGAGGAGAAGTCCCTGCTATGACTGAAGGCAGACAACAGACCAAGGCACACCAGGGGAAGCTCCCCCTAAACTTGACTTTTTAAGATAAAATATCATCTCTTGAGCCAGGTTAGGAATGTCTAAACTCACGTCTCACATGATCTGTAAACTGTATAATCCTACTACAAACAACAATTCTTGATTGTGGATATATTAGTCTGAGAAAAAGAGGAACTGCTGTGCACCTGACCCTGTGCACCTGATCCTTGACAGTCACTGACACAATTAATAAGTCACTGAGACCCAAAAAAGTCTTTATATAACCAATTATAGTGCAACTGGACCCTCTTCTTCCTTAGTTTGATTGATCCTCTGGAAATAAAGGTGGAAGATAGAAATTCCCTGAGAATTTTTCCAATCATCAATTTTTCCTCATATCTATATATGAGGAAATGTTAGGCATCCTTTCCTGTTTATGACTGAAAAAGCAAGGAAAACACATTGCAGATTTCCTAATGTTTTGCATTGTGCAGAGTCTCTAATAAAAATACCAACTGAAAATAATTTTAAGTCCCTAGGAAAAATGGCAAATGCTAACGATCATTTTCAATCTAACTCTCATGAGTTTTCCCTCTCTTTAGAACTAGTTTCCCAAGATTTTTTTTTTCATTTTTCATTCTTCTCTTCATATATGTGTTCTATCCTTAAAATTCAGATATGTTTAAACAGCAACACAAAAACATTCACAATTTTCACTGTTTCCAGGCAGCATTTGTCAGCACATTTAACTCAGTTCCAAATTGCTCTAAAGGAGAGGTTTTTTTAAAGAGCAGTAAGTCTCTTATTCATGGACTCATGCTTTTTTTTTATTCTTCTTGGCATCCAGTATGAATTCCAGTATTTTATGCATATTACTGTTAATTTGGGTTTCCTGGGGAGTGGCTGTCCTCTTCCTTTATGGCAGCTATCAATGACTTCTTCTTAATAGTTATGAGACAGAATCCTATATAAAAATGGCAAATCATATTAAGCTTCTCTGTGATCCTTGATCTTCTGCCAGCACATCTGATCCATTTCCAGAGTACATGAGTACGAATGTGTGCCTTGGTTAATAAATAAACAGTTCCTGTAAAACCACTTTTTTCTCCTACCATCTTAACCCTCCATGTTTTTTTAAGAAATCCATGTGATATTTCAAGCAGGATCTCTTTTCTTAAGAGAACATTAATAGTGTCTTAGGTCCGAAACTTTTTAAATGGAGCAAATCTCCTTTTGCTAGGGAAGCTTTTGGCAAAATACTTTTTCCATGTATTGCACAGTCTGTTATCGTCATGATCAGCACAGATTTTGTAAGTCCCAGCAGCCTGGTCTCCTACGAGTGAGAAATTCCACTTCTCCAAATGAAGGGAAAATATAATATATGGGAGTCAGCATAGATGTTGTTCCCTCACTGTTGAGTGCTTCTCTGGTTCTATTCGTGGCAAACATGAAAAAATACATCTGTCATTATGTTTAATAATATAAACATGTTTCATCTGAGAGATGGACTATAGCTTCCAAAATAATTTCAAGATGGCACTAAGTATTTCGAGTGCTGAAATTAAAAAAATTTAGCCACTGCCACCTTGACCTGCATCTGCACAATTTCTGCAGAAATCACTTATCAATTCCTTTATCAATTAAAAACTAATTTACTGGGATTTATTGTTTTATTTTATATTATTTAGTATTATATATAAATATCACATTTAACATATTTTAGACTTACAGTCTGCATTTCTACATTCCTGTAGTGGTGCAGAGGAGGGAAGCACCCTCAGTTCAGACCTGCCTATGCTGAGCTTAGTGGTAGCAGAGCACAGGAGACTCCTACCAGCTGAACACAGGTAGTGTGGGATAATTTCCCAGCCTCTGGTATTTCACACCCAGAGAGTGTGGGATGGCATCAAAAGCTGCATTTGCCATCACTATGCAAGACAGCTCTTTCTCAACTCTGACTATTTTTCCAACCCTGCTAATGAGAGGGGAAAACAAATTCAGAACATGAGCCGGCACTTAAATCTTGTACACGAGGTGCTTCTGCTTTTGGATGAATGATGCCAGGGTTGGGGGCTGGGTCACATTTTTTCCTGCAGGAATAACAGCCTTTCGCTTTGAGAATCTCCAATTTACATCAAAAAATTATGGTGATGCCTTTCACTAATTTCAAGGATTCATACACGAGGATGAAATACTTTGCCAGCGGAGCAGAAAGCACAGATCGATAGATCAGAGAAGGATCTGAGCAGAGCAACAATCATACCGTAAATGTCAGAGCTGAGCAATTTCCACACAAATAAAATAAAGCTGCCATGGGCAAACAGTTTCAGAGCGGAGGTGTCAGACTGCTGCTGAGTGCCTGCGCTGCAGTCCCAGGGTCACTCACACGGGAGCAGGTGCCGCGACACTCGGCAAGGCAATATCACAGCTCTGCCCTTACACGCAGCTACTCCCCGGGAAGGCAAAGCTTAACACTTCAAAGTGACTTCCACACCCCACACCCCTCTCACAAACTAAAGAGCTCAACTCGGGAACTTTCACTTCACAAGAAAACGCAGACGCTCTTTTTTCTCCTTAGTTTGCAACTTCCTCTTTCCAGAAGAGCAAACAGGGAAGATGCAACATTCATATCCTGTGATTTGCTAGAGCCTGTGGTTTCACCTTCTCTCCCCAGAACATCACAGAGGTCTGACAACTGGGCAC